CTTTATACTAACCGTTTTGTTCGCATATAATTTATGTCTTTTCACTTTTAACCAACTGAAGTGACGTTATACTGGTTTTTGGGGTTAATTCCAAGCGATGTTTTTCTTTTTGCCGAAATGCCTCTCCTACCTTCGTGCAGGGGGAGGGAAGTGATGTAGGGGCGTTACGGCCGTGAGGCGTGCGACGCGGACCTGGAAGTGCGCCGCCTGAGCAGCGCGCAGCGGGACGTGTACGTGCGGCTGACGGAGTTTCTCCTTGCGGAGGAGTACTGCTGATGCGCAGCGTGCTGGGTGTGGCCGCCGCATGGTGTGGCCGCCGCGCGCGGGTTGAGCGATGCCGCCCGGTGCCTCGTATCGCACAGCTTGACTGCCCACGCTTTTCCCCTTCCTCTTCTTTTTTGTTTTCGCCCCCTCTGCCCCCCGCCCAAGACACGCCAGAGTCACGTCGCGCGAAGGCAAAAAACAAGACCGAGAAATGGTTTCCGGCAAAGCAACGGCGCTTGTGGCGGCGGCACTGCTGGCGCTCCTCGTGGTGGCGCCCGCCATGGCTTCCGCGGAGAGCTCCCTCGACTGCCAGAAGGTGTGGACCGGCCCCAGCGTCGACAACGACGTTTTCAAGTGTCTGTCCAACACGGAGCGCCTCAAGGACCAGTGGCGCGACTTGGTTTACCCGGGGTTTTGCGCGCTGCTCTTTGTTGTTTCCCTGGTGAGCTTCCCGATCGTTTTCCTCTGCGTTGTCTGCTGCCACCGTTGCTGTAAGACCAAACCGGGGCAGGCTACTGGCGCTTCTCGCTGCTGCCTCTGGATGTGGGTCGTCTATGTCTTGCTCTGGAGCGCCGCCATGGCCGTCCTCGTGATATTTGGCGCCAAGCTTCTGGAGACGTCTATCCCCAGTATCCTTGACAACACGCTGGGTGGCCCGCTGCATTATTTCAATAACACGGGTGAGAAGATCATTGATTTCACTTCCAACTGGTCCTCTGGGAAACGTGAGCCCATAACTGCCATCAACCTGGACTTTTCTGCCTTCACCAACGTCAGCACCAAAGTGAACGATCTTGTGACACATGCCAGGCATACGCTTTCCACGTACATTGCATGGGTGCCGATTGTGTCGTACTCTGTCGGCGGCGTGGGCGTTGCGCTCATGCTCCTTGTGGTTCTATTGGCCTCTTGCCGCTGCTGCGTCCCCTGCATGCCATATTGCCTCTCATGTGTCTACTGGCTCTTCGGGGTTGTGTTCGCACTGCTCGCGGTTGTTGGGGCGGTGCTGGCGTACCTTTCCACCACTGCCTGTGGCGAGGTGCAGCTGCAGTACCAACGTCAGCCGGGCGTGTTCCAGTGGTACCTCGTGCCGTACTGTGAGCAAACATTTGACTTTGCCACCATCAACAAAGGAGTGAGTGAGGGCGAACGGGCTCTGTCCAATGAGGCCTGCAAGGTGTTGCTAAAGTCGTGCGATAACAACCCCGCTGTTCCCAGCCCCACTTACCCCTTGCTGTGCGGCAATGGCATCACTTCGGAGGATCAATGCCCTGACTTCGGGTCCATGACCAGCGTGATGCGCGCCACCCAAGTTAAGGCTGACGCGATGGTGTGCCCCGTGGTGGGTGAGTCGTGCACGCTGCTCGAGTGCGCCGCCAGCTGCACCCAAGACCAGGCCAAAGAGCTGGCGGCAGGGATCCTGCAAGTCGCGGCGCAGGCAAGCAACGCGAGCATTGCGCTTTCGTACGCCAGGCCTTTGCTCGACTG